CATAGATACCACTTGTGATATTTCAAAATTGTCTCAAATTTCACTCGCCTACTGGCTCGTGAAATTACGTATAACAACTTCCAAATATCACTCGTGGTATTTATGCCAAATATCACGAACAATCATGCTATTACCTATACTAATAATATCTGAACACAAGTTTGTTAGGCCATGCTTCTTTTTCGCGTACACTGAAACGCATCTAAAGGTCAGCAACCACAACAGCATTTTCGCATCATTTTCAGCCGTCCACACAAAAGACAAAGCCATCAAAAAACGCATATCTGGAAGTATGTGTCAATACCAGGCTATCTTAGACGTGTTGTTTTCAATTTTTCGCGCTGTTGCTTGCTTTTACCGGCGAAGCGGGGTAATGCATGAGCAGCAATAAAGTCAGTTTACACAAAAAAGCTTTGTTTTTGCCGTTCTCAGCAAGAGCTGTAGACCTTCATAATTATCAAAAGAACCATTTTCGAGAGTATTTTCGATCACCTCTGTTTTTTAAGGCTTTAATCTGAACGCAATTTCAAAACGCTTTAAAATTAGTGTACATAGGATCCATGTACGTTTTTACCATAGTAAACATGTAAACATGTATTAGGCGCTCTGATTTGACTGTTGGTTCGTTATTTGTTTTCAGGAGTCCGCATCCGAAATCCTTAACAATGTCAGATTTCCTTTACTGTCGCCAGAATTCTTATTCGATAGAGTTGCAGCAGAAGAAATTATCAGAAGTAACAGGGCTTGCAGGTAAAGTCAGTGAGAGCTTTATCCTTGCTGTGCATTGAGTGTTTGCAATCTGATTCGCAGTCTCAATGGTAACTGGTACATGTAGATGCTTTGTTTGTAGTGGGAAAAGCACTTGCTTTGGTAGCATTCGCGCTAATTCACAGACACTCCGCTTAAATTATTAGAAACAAATAATGAAATTAAGCATAACAGGATGAAAAAACCCTAAACTGGCAGGATGCAGCCAGTTGGCTATTTATTAGCGTGGCCAAGAAGTTAAACAGAGCGCCAACAAGGACAAATCCAGTTAGTTGTCAGAGAAGGACTCGAACCCGAGTCGACGCTCTGACCGTTCGTCTACGCTACCTCTCTCTGCGTAATTATGATAATTATGAATTTGTTTTTGCGTTTCATTCAACAGCGATCTGTTACTTGAGGCCGCCAAATGTCTTCTTCTCCCAAAACGCCGATCTCAGATTCACAATCAGAGGGTTTCACCCAGGAGACCCACAACTGTGAATCACGTGATGTATGCCATCGGTGGTATGAGCCGTAGAGAAGCTAGCAAAAGCGGCGAAAAGTATGATCCACGAGAGCGAAAATGGAAGACTATCGGTAAGATCACTTGATTAAAATCAGAGATAAACGTAGTCTCCATTTGCTCAGGAATAATGAAGGGTGTCGCGAACATCTGGACTGTAGGAAGTCTCGTGCATTCCGTTTGTCTCAGAGATTAAGCGATTCATGCCAGCGCGCGGAAAATGGCTTCTATTGATAATAGTGAGTTTACGCAACATGACGGCAGGATGAAGAGGACGGCAAAACACCCGTGTGTGACCAACATGACAGGGCTATTACTTGCGCGTTTTATCGTTTTGTCTTCACTTAACACCAATGTTATGCCGTTATGCAGTTTAGGTAACCTTAGTACTAACCCTAAGTGTACTTGTATGTCCCCCTACTCAAGGCGACATGAACATTTGCCGCTGGGGTGCCGCAGTTGGTGCTTTAGGTCCGTTCCTTTACATCTGCGGTGGCAGTGATGACGCGTCTCGACTGGAAACCGTGGAACGTTTTGACCCGTTCACAAACGTGTGGGTGCCGTCTGTTCCAATGTCTTCAAGTCGCAATGGTGTTGGTGTCACAGCCGGGAATGGCAGGATATATGCAATAGGTACGGAATGTGTAATGCTCAACAGTGGTGAAATTTTTGTTGTTAAAGGCGTTCAATATTTCACAGTAGAGCTGAACAAAGTATTTTTTGGTCACGCCAGCACAGCTATATTTTGTTTATTTTTTTCTTATTTTGTCCGATCGTTGATCGTTCTGTCTGATCGTTGCGCTGAGTTTCTGAACGCACTCTTCACAGGTGTAGATCCTGGCAGGGGGAGGGGAGGGTGGCCTTTTTGGGGGGAACCAATCAGAACTCAGGGCAGGTGAAGCTGGTGTTGAGCGCGGGAAGTCGCGTGCGACCAAGTCACGACTGATTTTAATGTTGCTTCTGATTGGTTGAAAAAGTAGCGCGAGATTGTTTCAGCCAATCACAAGGCGCAGCTCATTATTAAAATTGCTTTCGACATTTCATTGAAATCTGGTTTATTTCTTGAATGTTGCAGGTGGTTTTGACGGTTCGATGCCGTTAAATACGGCTGAGTACTATGACCCTAAGGTTGGCAAATGGACGGAGATTGCTCGAATGAATCAATGTCGATTTGGCGTGGGTTGTGCTGTACTGAATGACATGGTGTATGCTGTTGGTGGCTCCGATGGAACTAACCTTAAGACTGTGGAACGATACGATCCTGACACAAACACTTGGAAGATGGTTGCTTCTATGAGTACGGCAAGGTTTGTTCTCAAACTCATTAATAATTGACGTGTCTGAGTTATTTGATGAACAATTTCTCGTTTTTGCATGGCAGAGGTTATTTTTTTCTGGGGGAAGTTACACCACAATCTTGAAAGAGTGTTTCATACAATATCAAACACCTTGAAATTTGTCGAAACATTTTCTGCAACGCGTTGTGTTTACACGTGATGAAACACCTTGTCTTACGTTGTTTGTAATAATTTTAAATTGACGTATGGCCGTGCGATACATTAATTCCCAATGTTGAAGACTCGGCATAGTTTTTTTCAAATCGTTGAGCCTTATACTTCATTACAGTATCGAACCTATTGCTGAGTAGATACATAGCTACGGTTGTATTAAGAGCTCCTTTCCAGATATAGAAATTAGAGACACATCTGAAACTTTATCGGTAATAGAGAAATTTACCATCACGTTCACGCCTAACGGCCAACTGTTCATCTACAATTACTCATTTTCCTCAAAACCCATTGTTTTCTCTCTGCATGACATTCTCAAATGCTGAGAGCAAAATTATGTAAATCAGTCAAGTATGTCAGAAAACTGTAATGGCGGTGTTTCTGAATAGCAAGAAGACTACTGCCAGCATAATAGTTAAAATAAATATTGATATTCTGCATAATACAACGTCTTAACTTAGAGCTGACAAACAACAACAAAAAAAGTTTGTACCTTACACTCACGCTAGATTTTTCATGACGTATTCCGTTCCTGCAATTTCTTTCGTTAGTGTTTTCATTAATATCTCCTGAACAAACACAAAATGCACGCGGTTACATACGACTGGTCAGCAAATTTTACTCGAGGAGAATATGAGTTAAAACAGTTCAAAGCCAGTTCAAACTTGTTACCTTCACTTAGTTTCCTGACCATTTTCCTGGTAGCTGCTACAAAATAACCTCTCTGCAAAATGAACATGGCTTCAGACTATGAGCTGCTTTCTCCCAGCAAAGTCTCAACCGCAGTAAACTCATTCAGCACAAACTACTCGGACGTTATCATACATTATGTAAATTTCTTGCTTGTGAAAAGACTTTCGTATCGCAACTTCATCCCCAAGCTCTCTCCCCCCTTTCCTCGGAGAAAGAGAGGTGGAAGAAAGGAGACTGATTTGGGAGCGATTATGTTCGTTTTCAAATGATTAACCAAACACCCAACCCACTCAGCATATTCAACGGCATGAAACCGACCTTGTTTCTGCGATTGCTTATTTCGGACAACAACGCCAGTAAAAGACCAGCAAATAACACGCGAATGTTTTCCTCTGCTCTTTATTTGCTTCACTCTCCGCTATCTGAAAGCTTGCAACAGGATAAAACATCACGATTTGCATCATAAACAAGTAGCATAACTAATATTTTCCCTTACAGGAAGCAAGTGGGCGTGGCCACGTTAGGGGGCTTTCTCTACGCCATTGGGGGGTGCGACCACGGGCATCGCTACGATAGCGTGGAACGGTACGACCCAGGAAAGGACCAGTGGGTAATTGTATCACCTATGAGTACCCCTCGAAGTGGGTGTGGTGTTGGAGTGTTAGACGGCTTTATTTACGTAGTAGGAGGGTACGATGGGACGTCGTATTTGAGCTCAGTAGAAAGGTAAGCTGTAGTTGATCTAGAAGCGAGTTGAATTTTTTTTCGGTCATTTGAATAGTGTTCGTTGATTAATTTATAGTAAGCAAATGAGTTTCCTTGTACTGGTTTCTGAACAGTTTCTTAACATACGAAGAACTGCACGCTTTTTAACAGCTTTCTCCGCATTCTACATCATTAAATAAGTTGGTAAATCAAATTTCGTGTTTCATTCTTCAATCGACGCCCTTTCACACTTTCATTAGAAACCGATAACTCGTTTCATTTCTTGTCATGTGTTTGTTACCATGGCAATCGTAGAAATTCCTGTTAAATCAGCGTGTTTACTTTAGTACAGTGAAAGAAGTGAATCAACCCTTTCACTTCCCAAAGTGACTTATGGAGTTTCAAGCTTGAAAGGTGGTTCTTACTTTTGAGTTTGTTGATGAAATCCTACGATGTGACCATTCAAATGGAACCTCCTGCGCAGTACTATCTACTTTTCAGCATTTTACTAAATGGAATAAGGACAATTGCACGAGGACGTCACTTTACTACAACCACTAGACATCTTCAGTTCGTTGTCTTATTGTGCAAATTAAGGCTATTGTTTTAAAACCCCAGCGAAATTGACAAATTTAAATAACAAAGCAAAAACGAAATGAATTCTGGTAGTTGCAGTCAAATGTCGTCATAGTGTACCCTGGGTTCCAGAGGATATTTTTTTCTTATCGATACTCAGGGTAGTGATAGTGAAAATGGCCTGTTTGAACTTTTTGTGTAGGTATGACCCATTATCTAACGAGTGGCATCAAGCGCCTCCTCTCAGCCAACCGAGGGATTGTGTAGCAGTTTGCGTGGCCAGTTCTAAAAGAACGTTTAACAAACGACTCCTGGACCCTTCATCAGGCAGAACACCGGCTGTTTAGAGAAATTACTACTGAAAGGATCGAGGCATTGATCGTAAGGACGAGATGAAAGAAATTTCCACGACGTGTATGAAGTGAGGATAAGAGTTATTTGCATAAGAGTGAAGCAGAAAGGAAAAGATCTTACAAAAACTGATGGTGCCGAATAGTAACACTGTGGCGTGAGGTGCAAGTTAACAGGTTTAGACTACAACTGCGCGGAAATTTACAATTGAAAGAAAGAAACCCTATTTAAGATCCGGTGTAAGCGCTGGCATGACGCTGAAACCACGTGATCAAATGCACGTGATCAGATAACCATGGCCTGGAGCGGAGCAGTGTCACGTGATTGACATTGGCACGTGTGACGTGCGTGTGTAAAAAGAAAAGTTTGTTCAAAACATAACTTCTTTTAGGTTGTTTTCGTTAGGTAGGGAGTAACGGAAAAAAAAACACCGTTGAGTGATTTAAAAATGCTAAAGAGGATTTATGAACTACGAGCGTCACTGATGAAATATAAAGAAGTTTCAAGTAATTCACAATTAGAAAACGAAAGTACTGAGATGAAGTACTGTACTTGAACTACATTGTTTAGTAGAATATTTAAGTTGTATTAAATCCAGATACACGAATTAAAACCGGATAAATATTATTTAATTATAGAAGAGATCATAAAAAAAACACTATTATTGTAAATATTGAATTCAAGACAATGTTAAGCAGACAACTGATCCTAAAACTTATCAGATACCTCTTTATCTCCTGCTACTCCTGGGTTTTGTCAGTAGAATAAAGGGGGAATTGGGTGTTCCTTCCATCCCCCAGGTCCTCTTCCCGCCCCCTCGCCCTAACCCTTAACTTAATAAATCTTGCCTCCCTGGAAAGTATAATTTTCATGGAAGCCGTTTTCGGATAAATTTCTAACATCGAATGTAACTTTAACAGATGGGATTCAGTTGTAAGACATACTTATGAATATTGTATAAACATCAATAGCAAAATATAGCTACGAAAATGATGCAACGAGTCATGCAAAAATGCACAGAGACCTGAGTGGTAAAAGTCGAAAAAAACTTTTTAAAATCTTGTAAATGTTTATGTCCATTGAATGTAGCACTTGGCTATATATTTATGTTTGAAATAAAAAATATAAATTGCATTTTATATATTTGTGTGTTTAATGTATAGTTTGATAAACAAGCAGGAGTGTTATACCAGTTTTAAAATACGACATGCAGCCGACAATCCTATGGATAAAGATCAGCGGATGATGATCGATAGATCTTTTAGTCTGGCGCGAGGTTCTTCTAGAATTTTTGGGTGGGATGAGTCATTGGAATACGAGAATCCTTGGTGTTTAGTAATTCCAGGCCGTGTTAAACTGCAAGTTTTCCTACCCTATTCTAGTCTTGGCACCAAAAATCCCCACCCCATTCCAGGCTAAGTATGAACCAGAAATTTCCTAGTTCTAACAAGCCTCGTTTTCAAAATGAGGCCAAGTGAGAAGATGAGGTTTATTTGCATAAAGGAGAAAAATGGTTTATAAATCAAAGACTTTGCACTTTCCCTCGCTTTGAGAACGAGGCTGGAGGTAACTCAGACCACTGACCTATCATAAGCTTGTAAGACTCACTGTTCTATTTCAAAGTGCTCTGATATCTGTACTGTATCCCCTATGTAGCTGCCCATATATGACACTGCCCCCCTTCCCCCACCTCTCCCTGGGCTTTTAGCAAAAGGTTTACAAAAAAGTGACTATAGTAGTTTTGAATAACCTCGTCCTTGTTGACTTGTTCGATGGCATTTAGCATACAAGTGCCACACTGCAGCTCATGCCTAGCTTGTTATGTATTATCTCCACGATGTCACCCGGACGCATGACTAGACAAGACAAGATATCCTGGACGTTTGATTTTTCGCTGTTTCTTCATCTCCAGCATGGTTCCCAGGGGCGGATCCAGCATTTTTTCAGGAGGGGGTGCACTCGTCTCTTGCTCTACTTCAACACCAATAAACCACATAGTTCTTTTTTCTTTTTTTTTTTTGGCAGAATACCAGTTGTATTAGAAAATCGTAGGTCATCTCGGGGGGGGGGGGGGGGGGGCGCCCCCCCTGCCCCCCCCCCCTAGATCCCCCCCTGGTTCCAAAAAATATGACGAGACCTTTTACACTTGACCACCCGAAAAATGTCGCAAATTTTGGGCCCCCCATTTTAACCTTTCTTTTTCTTGTCCAACCTTTTTCGTACCCAAGTTGGGGGGCGGTTTCACAATTTTCCCTATGGCTAGTCTCTTTTTTGTGTGGGGTGGTCCCTCCTTTGTTTCTTACCCTTCCCAAACCACACTAATCTTTTTTTTTTTTTTTTTTTTTTTTTTGGGGAACTATAGTTTGTAATAAAAAGGCGGGGGGCGGGGGGGGGGGGGGGGGGGGGGGTGCGCACCCACTGCACCCTCCCCCTAGATCCGCCCCTGGTTCCTAAAAATATGACGAGAACTTTTACACTTGAGCACCCGAAAAAGTTCGCAAATGTTAGGCCTCCATATTTAACCTGTATCTTTCCTGTTCACACTTGTTCAGATCCAAGATGGACGGCGGATTCACACTTGTTCCTCCTGTTCAGCTTTTTCTTCTTCAGTTTCTTCTTCCTCTTTCTTGTCAGCTGGTTTCTTTTGCACCAGTTTCATTTTCATTTCCAGTATGGGCACAGGGAGGGCAATCACCAGGGTACCCACTAAGCAGCACACACTCCCCATCAACTGACCTAATGCAGTCTCAGGTGACATATCTCCGTAACTGTAACAAAACACCAATTCGAAACTTAAGAAACAAGAAAGAAACTGGGCAAACCCCCCCAAAAAAATTTGGCCAAGACTTCTGGGATTGCTACTAGGGACAATGAAAAGAACTGGCCAATAGCTGACCGGTACGTTACCAGTAACGATCCCACAAACAATTGCGGCTCCAGTTCCCTTCAAATTTCTAAAGTGGCGAATTTTAAAGTGTGTTAGTAGTAGGACATTTGAAAGTGAGGAATGGAGATGGGACTTGGGCGCAATAATTGTGAAAGTACCTTAATGTTAAAATTGGTCCTAAATGCAGTAATTTTACAGATTGGAGTGTTCGGAATAAGAGATAATCAATGAGGTAGGAAAGTTTATCCGCCGTATTTGCCTTAGTTCAAAAGGACGTCGTTTTAGGTTATTTTGAGCTCAAGTCCCAGATGTGTAAATCCTAAGAGGGTTAGGTAATAACCAATGAGATATTGTGATTACAAACCACGTGAACGACTTACCCGTAGAGTCGCGCATTTTTATACGAGTCTCGAGATTTGATTGGTTATCAACTAACTCTCTGGGGATTTCTACAAGGGATTACTCTGGGTACCAGATTTGACCGAAACCGGATCGATCAATCAATCTGGCTCACCAGGATTAGTCAATACTCACCCAGTTGTGGTCATTGTAACAATGGCATACCACATACTGGCGGGAATACTTTTGAACGTGGTTCCCTCAACATCTTTCTCAGCATAAAACACAGCAGTAGCAAATATAATCACACCAAGGCCAAAGGAAAACAGGATAAATCCGAGCTCAGAAGATGAGTTCTTTATGGAGGAACCGAGAGCCTGGAGTCGTGATGAATGACGCGACATCTTAAACACTCGGAAAACGCGAAAGACGCGAAGAATCGTCAACGCGTCGAAATCACCGGCGCTTTTCAATCCCAAGTCAAGATAGAACGGAAAGACAGCTGCTACGTCCACAATGCTTTGAAATTCTTTCACGAATTTGCACCTGTTTGGTGCAGCGAACAAGCGAATTAAATACTCTAAGGTTAACACTACGACGCAAGTTCCATCAAGATACTGAAAAGCCGTTTTATATTCTTCCCCTAATGTTTTACCTCCATAGGGAATTGTCTCGCTGATGGTTGTGACTATACTTAAAATAATCGCTATTCCTATAGCATAGTACACTAATTTCGCTGTTCTGGAAGATTGTGGATTTTCAAACGTGTACCAAACTTTTTGTCGAAACGTTTTTCGCAAAGGTACGCACTCACATGGCGGTTTATTCTCGGACTCTGAACTTCGGCTTCCGCTCGTGCTGGCGTCGGCGTATTCCTCGAGGCAACAAAGCCCCATCGCGTCGGTAGGAATGCGGAAAAAATTCAGTTCGTCCTCGTAAAGTTCTCCGCATTCTTCCAGAGAAAAGTGAAGTTTGCCATGTCGATAATAGTTCAAAATGTGGCGGAAAAAAATAGGATCTGTATCGAAAAAATATTCATTTCTTTCTGAGTCAAAAAATGATTCACGATCTCTGCTCCCTAACAACGTTGCTGGGTACTTCTTCAAAGTATGGTCCCATGTTTCGAACTTTCTTCCACTCACGTTGAGAACAATTCGCTTGTCATTCAACTGCTTACGGTGCAGTATACTAAAAGGTCTTTCCTTGTTGAATATTGGACAAACCCCTACCAAACCGACTTTTCCAAGAGGTAGCCAGCTCTCTAAGTCACTGATGGAGTTATCCATTGCAGTCATTTTGAGTTAGTTATCTTTATATCTGTACAACGAACGACCAGTAAAATCTTGTCCTATGGCCAAAACGGCTTCTTGTAATTACAGCTATCGGTAACACGCTGTTGGCTGGTTAAGACACTCATTAACGTATACTGAATTGTTAATATGTACGTAATCAATGTTACCGACAAAGGCGCTTTACGCCCTTTTTTCCAATCAGATATTTCCCTCCACACTAGACCCCACAACGAACTATTTCTTTAACGGCAAAGCGAAAAATTACTGGGTAATAACTTCTTGTTTCAGCCTTTAAAGGACTTGATGAGATTTTTTTACCACACGCTAATTTTGCAAAGACTATTATTGTTTATATTATTACAGGTACCAGCGATTATTCCACGCTAACTATCAACCACAACCAAAAAAATCTCAATCAGGCTCAAACTGCGACGAATTCAATACCAAGATGTTTTGAGTTCAACGTCGAAATTATTAACAGAAATCAAACTAATCAGTTTTGGTTTTCGGTGTTTTGGTTTGCTTTGCTCCTCAAAAATCATTGCAAAACGTACTTCAGCGCTTATACGTAATATCACAAACAAATTGCTGAAAATTAAAGAATTAAGGTTATTGACTGTTAAGTCAGTTATTACGGCCACAAGAAGCATTGATCTTCTTGTAATTAATCACTCCCGGCTAATCTGTACCTCTCGTTTGATTTAAAACTCAGGTGAACTAACAACAAACAACCACCTGCTCTCGTCGGTACATCGCAACTAATAAAAAATGCGTAAACCTTTGCCCTAAAAACAAACTTTGAAAATACCCACGGGATTTACGGTTTGTATTGTATACTTCACCATAATATTGATTTTTCTTAGCGTTTTTGTACAATAGCACTCTTTTTATTCCAGACAACATTACCTAGTGGCGTGACACGAAAAAACTTCAAGCCCGAGCGGGTGTATGTTTCTACGTAGCTTAGTTTATTCAATAAGTCAAAGTCTCTAATATTTTTTACGATTTGCTCTTCAGTAGTGTTTTAGGCCAAAGGGGTGTAAATAATACACTTTCTTCTGCAGGTAATGATTAAATTCGTTTTATATACTTGAGAAGACAACAAGTTAATGTAGTTTTATTCAACAAAAAAATTGTTGTTTCTGGAACAGTCTTTTTGCGCTACCATCGTTGAAACAATGCGGACTATAGACGCTTAAATTAATTCAAATATCCTCAATTGGTGTTTGCGATTGATTCCAGGCCTCCAGAGTCATGCATGTCTGCGACGTGGACGATGAACAAAATAAAGTGGCCTGGGATCTAGCTATTGCTTCCATCTCCTCAATTTCCTGAAAACTGTTCGCAACTGAGAACTATTTTATTTGCCCAGGAGCCCATGACCCGGAGCCTCCATAGGCTTCAGATTTGCTTGATAATTAATACTAATTGATAGTTAATTGATAATTTACAAAAGATTTACATTTTATTGGTTTTGGAACTCCAAGTAATAGAAAAATAAGTCAATGAAGCAGGTAAGTTGAAAGAAAATTCTCACACGAGAATAACCATAGACTAGGATAAAAATTAGCGCTTTTTTTTTTTTTTTTACCAAAAACAGACTTTAAATCTTATGACATGACAACATTCGAGCACAGAACTGAGTAAACTTTACGTTGCACAACATTGTGATGCCGCCTTTTATGGTCATAATCGTATAATTTAGTTTATACACATAATTAGCATTAATTATGTTCATCTTTTTCCCACAAAGGCCTAATTTATGACAATAATTCGATGGAAAAGTTTCGTGAATCCTCTTTTCGAGAAGCTAGTTTTCTAACCAGGCTTCGATCTTTTCCTCTCTTGTTTTTGGTCTTTTCTTGAAAGGGTTTTTAAATTTTCGTTTCTTTTTAGCGCCCGCCTGTGCTTGTTCTTCTGCTAGTCTCTCGTCTTCCATCTTCTGTTTGACCTCTCTAGAAAATGGAATATCATAATTTTTAAAGGGAGTACAGTGATCCCCCCTGACCTTCACCTTATTCAAATGGGGCATATTTGAATTCCCCTTTTCTAGGATTGGAGGGGGGCTGATATGGACGTTATGAAGAACTGACAAGGGGAGAGGGTTATAGCCATGATAGTTATTGTTTTCACGATGTGGTGACGTCATGTTAGATGGAATTACGTCATGAGTTTTCATGTCTACCATGTTAGGAGCACCATTATAAAAACGTTCAAATAGTGTGAGTTTATCAAATGTTTCAAACGGATTTGTGAGCAGTGAATGAGATCAAGATACAAATGAACTTGCTTTAATTAAGAGAATGGAACTACTTAAATCGAAAAATGACACAAGAAACTTCTCATTAGCTTAATATTGCAGTTGCTTGTCACAACGTTTTCATCGTAAACTGAGTGTCACCGAGTCCTCAATTTTTTCCCCATTGTTAGTAGAACCAATCTGAGTACAGCGAACACCTCAGTTAAGCGACACCAGGGAACCCCTCAACGGTGTCCGCTAGTTACAGATTTCACTACCTGGCTGTCCAAAGATCACACGATATGTGACGTGACAAGCTTGAGTACTGTAATCGTAATCTTTAAATGAGTTTTAAGACTAATCGCAACTTACGCTGCAGCTTCTAATGCGACCAAATCGATATCAACTAGATCATCCTCGTCCTCTGAATTGGATTCCTCTTCAGCCAAAGTGTCGAGTATTCCTGGTTGAAGTGAAGAAAAGTGAGAGTTAAGTTCACGTGACTACCTGTATTCCTCATGACAGGCTTTCTCTCGCTCCATGTAAGGAAATACAAGACAGTCTTGGATTATGGACTCCACGCCGTGGATTCCGGAATCTTTGTCAGTGGAACTTGGATTCCGGATCTCCATCTTCAATGGGGTTCTGAATTCCTTGAGCCGAATTCCGGATTCCAAATCCCAGGATTCTGGAGTCCACAAGCAAAAATTTCCGTGATTCGGGAATCCCGAATCCCTTACATAGTGGGGGGGGGGGGGGGGGGGGGGGTATTGCTTGCTCCTTCCGCTTATGTGGCGTTGTGAGTGTATTCCAACTTAGTTATAGCACAAATCCAAAGGAAAAGAGTAGTGAAAAAAAAAGACTCTTGTTTCTGGGGGGGGGCGGAGCGGTGGCGGGGGGGGGGGGGGGGGGGGGGGGGGGGGGGGTAGTTCTCCTTGTTAATTTTACTCAACAAAGCCAGTGTAACTTAATTTAACTCTGAATGTCTGTATTCCCTTTTTCATGTAAATATTGTTCACAACTTACATGAGACAGTACTGTTATTCAAGATGCCCACAGGGATACCAAAAAAAGGGATACCAAGAAGAGTTAACAGAGGCTTGAATCATCTGACTGCTAACGATCCAAATGATTCAAGCCAACTCAGCGATTATGGGGTGATCGGACGTGTCAGAATAAACTGACAGTTAACCTACACTCCACGTATACTGAGTTGAGTGAGTTCACTGAATAATCGATATCGTCTGTGCGTCAGTGAATTCAATCCCATTCAAGCCGGATACTTATCAGCATGAGCACTACGAGAGTAGCATCTTCTCTTGATTCACAAATGACAATTGGTTTTATACATTTACAATGAGAACATACTTAGCTTAGCTCTTAGAATGTCCAGCATTTCCTCGTAAAATGCAATGCTTTCTCTGAGATGACCTAAAACATGACACAAGTTGCCAAGATTTGCAAGAGCCTTTCCCATACCATGCTGGTCCCTCAGCTCCTTAGCAACCGCAAGTCTTTCTTTGTTACAACTAAGCGCTTCTTCGTAGTTCATTTCCAACTCGTAAATATTCCCAAGATTGTTATATATCTTCGCCAGCGGCCGTTTATCTCCTCTTTCTTTCGCAATGTTCAGTGCAGCTGTAAAATGCTCTCTAGCTGTGGTTAAATCACCTGTTATTTTATACAGACATCCTAAATTACAATGAGCTCTTCTTTCGCCTTTATCATCCCTCAATTCTTGTGATAATAGGAGATGTTTCTCGTGGTATTCTTTTGCGGTGGTGTAATCACCGAGTTTATAAAACGCAAGTCCCAGAAAACTTAATGCATCAGCCTCGGCGATTCGGTCTTCATCCTCAACCGCATCAGCTAAGCAAATTTTTAACTCTTTTATCTTGTCATATATTTCATCTTCCGCTTCTTCTACAACGCGAAAATTCCTGGGATCGTTCTCTTCCATAAAAAGTAAAGTTGCGCGGTCACAAAAAGGCCATTGCCCTGGTTAATTTTTTCATCTAAACAAGGAAAATTTCACAGCCATGACAGAGGCACGAAGGCTTAATAGTAGTCGACCACTATCAACCAATCACATCGCTTGATTCATTTATTTAGCAGGTGGTATTCAGACCGGTTGTTGGGTAAGTACGAGTCACATCAGCCTTACAATCAGAATTTGTGCACCAAATTGCAGTTACCGAGGCTTTAGCACTTGAAGCGTTGAATAAGTTAATCCGGGCGAAAAAGACAAAAATAAGTCCTTTTTCCGTTTTAATATTGAAACATAGAAGCTGTGTTTATGCCTAAAATTTTTACATATCAATCGCTTGATTGAAACGAATTACAATCTATGATAATACAGTAAACTATATATATTTCTGAAAACTAATATTTCTTTATTCAAATGGGAAGAATTTCCGTATATGGTCTTATATTACCTTGGAGAGTTTAATGTACAACAAAACAGGAAAAACATACAAAACGTGTTGACTTTTTACCTTTTTGCTGTCAAAATAAAAAGCCTCTTAATTGATAAATGCATGGTTGTAAAGTTCACGTCACTCCTAAGAGTAAATATGAAAAAAAACAAGGACTGTAAGAAGCTTGTCCGGACCCCGATATAGCTGATAAAAATTACTGGCGGAATTAACCAGAAAACCTTGAAATTTTGACCGCCAAACAGAGAAAACCAGTTAAGCCAGAATTTCTTTTTAGACGAAATAACTCCTAACTAGTACATAGTAGGAGACTAAAGAGTTAATGTTAAATGATCGAGAAAAGAAAACGAGACTGTGAAAGGTAATACTTTATCACAAGACTTTTTGGGACAATAACTTGAAATTCTGCATTTCAAATGGCTCGCGACATTTTATTCGCCAGTTTTACAATGCTTAAAACACACCTTGCTTACACCTCCCCCAAATTTCGCTTTCTTGAACGAATGTACCAAGGAGAAATTAAAAAGAATTCTTATACCCTTTTTTTCGGGGGGGGGGGGGGGGGGGGGGGGGGGAAGGGGGTTTTTTTTGGCCCGGGGGGGGGGGGGAAACGGACCCCATTTAATGGGGGTTTTCCCGGGGTTTTTAAGAGGGGGAAAATTTTTATTTTTTTTTAAATTTAATTTTTAAATTCTTTTCAATAAAAAATATTTTTTTTTTTACATTTTTTTTGTTTTATTTTAACAATGATCAAATGTCTCTCTATCTAGCTGCAGAGATTATTTTTATTAGATGCGAGCATATAAGAGAAATAAGAAAATGTTCCTGTTGCGCGGTTTTTTGGGGGGGGGGGGGGGGAGGGGGGCGGGGAAAGGGGTTTATTATGAGCCACGTGAGAGTGGCGAATCGACCTCGATTCAATGCGGCTTGACCCGGATGTTTAAGAGAGGAGAATATCTATACTTTACTTAAACTATAGTTTTAAAATCCCTTCATATAAAAATCATTTCTATTTTAACAGTTATTTGGTTTAACTTGTGATAGCGTCCCACAGTTTGACTGGGGATATTGTTTTAAGCCGCGCCTGCTCGCCACCAGGCAGTCCGCTGAAAAAGTTGATTCCCGTCAACAATTCGATATCACGAACTCTTGCTGTATGTTCTAAGAGGTATTCCGAAGAAGACTGAACCTAAAACAGAGAAAATGAAAACTAATTGAAATGAGAGCTTCTTCATCTTACTGCCTAAAAATACTTCACAGATGAAATGTTATATTTCAATTTACGAATAGGAGTCTATCAGTCTATCAGTAAAGTATGCTAACGGTTTTCCCACAGCAAATATACATACGCATTTTTTAGATTGAAATTAGAACCTTAACGGCGCAGACACATATATAAACTTCCATTATTAATATTGTCGTAATATCTCATAGTTTCCTTGGTTTATTAAAACCGTTTGATTGTTCCCTGTCGTTGAACGTTTTGCCTTATAGCCATTGTAAGTCTAGTCAGTCAACTTGGGGAGTAAAAACAGCGACGAAACCTTAGTAAAGCAACTTTCATGGAGTCTCCTTCTTATTTTTGACTCATTTCGCGAGTTCCTTTTCAACAAGTACTCCACAGTTAATTTGCAAATACTGAAGGAACGCTGGTATTTACTTTTTTTGCGACTGTGGTGGTTTTTTTTTTCAAAGACTACCTTCACAGAACTTGAATGAACCCCTTTGAACGTAATTGCTGAAACCTAGTTGTTAATCTTAGTTTCACAGACACAAACCTTACTGCATGGACGGCTTTTCAGGTGAGGTAATATGAAGGAAATAACGTCAAGACGACCCTCGCATCCTGGCACTTTATAATACGGTTCCTTGCTACTGTCGCATCGTAAAATGATTTTGTAGAAATGAGTGGGAATTGCAACAGAACTTGTGTCATTTTTAAGCCACCTGAAAAAAGAGAAAATTGCTAGTTTTCATCTGATGTCATTACAATTTTGACATACCTTTAATCCATGTAGAAACAGTTCTTGCAAAGAAAGGTTAGTTAATTAAAAAAATATAGGGACACAGCACTTTTATGTCTTCCTATTTACTTCGCTTACCCGAAGAGAACCCCACTTAAGAGACCCCAATGAAAAACCGTCTTTATCTAATACAGTTAACAAAAAATTTATGTTTCGAACTCTTCGACGAAGACAGATTGTCCACGGTAAGCCTTATTCAGATTTTACAATCTTTCTTACAGAGACAGCCTGGGTACTAACCTCGTGATTTTGTCGTCATCATCTCGTTGCCCATCTACATCTTCGTCAAATATTGAACCGGATATGACGTAGACGTACTCATATTTAACTGAAAAATCTCGTACCATTTTCTCAAGAAACAACCAGATACCTAGAGGCAAAAGATCTGAATAAATGATTTCATTGAGTCATGCAATATTATTTGAATAAAGCGGGAAGGTTTACAAAGTTTTTCCTTGTGAATACTACGGCTTAGCAAGATCATGAAAGCACCGTAGTTTTACTCGATCAATCTTACTGTTTTAAAAGCTACTGAGTTTTACTTAATTCATCATGCCAACGATACAAATGAAAGCTATTGTACAGAACTTTCCTGTGGTCCTGTTTATTATGTTGAATGAAGGGGTTCTAACATTTGCGTCCATGAATCAAAAATTCTATGCGAAACCATTCAAATGAAAGCTACTTAGCAGTGCTTCTGCGTTGCGCTGTTTGTGAGGATGGTTCTTACTTTTGAGTCTAAAACTCCAGGATTAATCAATGTCTTTCGGAAGCTCTTACCAGCATTGAACCAATGGTGCTGCGGCGCAATGTTTGACAGTAAAAACGAGTTCATCACCGTCTCATCATTCACATCAAAAGTATCAAAATCGCCATTGGGTGCCATGTGACCACGGTCAAAACCTGAACGGGAGTAATGAGTGCATAGAGAGGCATGGCCATCCGTTACTCGAATGTCTCGCCGGAAGCAATTTCGTCTGGGGGTACTCTGAGATGCTTTCTAAGTAAACAAAAAGGTGTGCATGAAAATCTTTAAAAGATTAAACCTATAATCTATTAACAAAGAATACTAAGCTTTAATTGTGACAAGGTGATTTTCTTCGAAAAAGTCCATAAACATGCGTATAACTAATATTTCATAGTTCTCCCCCGTTTTCCCCCGCCTAGAAAAAGCCTTTCTATTCCCTAATCATGAAACTTTAAGGGGGAATGGGTACAAGCTATCAGCGTAACGATTTCTGGGATCATTTTGGGGTGAAAAAACGTTACTTGTGATTGGTCAATGGCTGCCTTGAATACCATCAACCAATCATAACTAACGCTTGTCCCCCCAAACGATCCCAGAATTCACCTCTCCCAAAGCTTGTAGCCATCCTCCCTGGAGTTTCAGAGGTGGGGAATTTGCGAGTGGAAGGGCTATTGTTTTTCACTGTGACAATGATATCATATTTTTATTTAACTTCTTCAGTTTGTTAGTATTCTAGACTTATTTATTTGCAAAGATGGCATTCACCCTGATGCATTTGAAAATTATTGACTAATACTGCTTGGAAAGTAGGTGCAATGTACCAGTTCATGTTGCACGTTTTTCAGTAGGACTAAGCATTGCCGGATCCAGACCTCGAGATAAAGGGGCGGGGTGCCGGTCATCCAGACCCTTAAATAAGGGGAGGGGGCGGTCCCTAAAAAAATTTTTTTCGGTCCTTCGGGCCTCGGTTTGGTCTAAAAATTGGGGGAGGGGGGGCTGCCCCTGGATCCGCCACTGCTAAGAAAGATTCCGTACGTACCTCTCCGTGAAGCTTGTATGCTACCCATAATGGTAAACGAAGAGAGGTGCTATAGCCCGTCACGAAATCCTGCTGAGTAAGTATGCACCCCCCTGTACCTGCTCCACCTTGGGGTACCCCCCACGGGAGATGCATCTCCAACAGCTGGGATGCTAAGGACGAAGACAAAATCATTCGCGTTACGAAAAATTACGATAACTGAATTATTCAGCAAGAAAATGAATAAAAGAGAAACGATTTCTTACTTTGATTTTGATTTAAGTCAAGGAACTTGTCATATCGAGCAACATCAGTGTCGTTCACCTGTGTGTAATCAAAAACAGAACCTAGGTCATGCTACAAAAAATTGGTTTAGAGGATCAGATCAGGTCGATAACGTGGCTCCTGAAGAAATAAACACCAACTGGACTGATTAATTGGGTCGGAGCTGCCGGCCTTGCCCTGATCCTTGCAAATGATCAAATGTTCTAGCCATCTCGGAAAAGAACGAAAGTTGCAGGTCTCGTCTTGTAGAAATGAAATGGTATGACCCTCTCATGTCTGACAACCCTTACTGTCTGTCTTTAGACTGCGAGCAAGCTCTTCATTCAGCGGAGTCGCGAGAAGTCGCGCGAGAGCCGCATGTGAAAGGGGACGCGAGTGCGTGGGAGCGTTCTCTCGCGGTATGTTCAGAGAGCTTGCAAGCAGGCTGGTCTATCTTTTATGGGGTTGTGGGTTTAGGTAGGGTGGGTCCCACTCAACGGACCCATGAGTACCATACGTGTCCAATACTCTGACAAATTTATGTATAGCTTTGTTAAATTTCTCATTGTTTTACTTCGTTCTCTGTACAGTATTGTAATGCAATG